TACAAGGCGAAGGACAATTACGAACACGCAGCAAGTCACTGATCTGAGCAGTGCTCCAGCTACCAAGAACGCACCACTAAACACTGCATCTTTTCCTTCGGACTGTATTGCCTACGTTCAAGCCTTTGAATAATGACTTTTTAGGGGAAAAAGACTGAAGATCCTGTCTACTTCGGAAGTGAAGATCGTTAAGGAGCACGGTGTAAAATCGACAACGCTAAACAAATCCTTCCCTTGGCTGCCATTCTCTCCACCGAGCAAAACAGAAATCCAAACCTGATGGATTCCACAATCGAAATAATAAAGTAATAATATGTATGGAAACCAGGGTCATGACAACTTAATTAAGAATGAAGCTAACGTCACCCCCACAAGCTCTTGCTCCCTTGCTTCCACTCCCCAAATGACTGGAAAATACAGAGTAGCTAACTACATCTGAAAGAATATAAAAGTTACTGAACCCTGCTGCCGAGGGGAAGGTGCTTGCTTTGGCGCAGGAGCCGCGACAATTCTGGCCGGCGGTTTACTTAGCATAGCAGTTGCTTCTGTGAAGGCAAAAGCAAGTGTGCATGAAGGAAACAGCTCAAAAAGCATAACACCATTTGCTTTGCGTCTTGTTCCGTATGAGAAAAATGGAGTTTGAAAAGCAGGGGCAGCGGGAATCCGCAATATTGTAATTTGTCACTCTCAACTAACGCTGGCAAGAAAACAGGACAGGAAAAAAAAAAAGGGAAGGGAGAGCGAAACTTTTTGTGGCTGTTTTTAGGCAGAAATTCTCCAACTCTTCATAGATCCAACCCATACCCAGTGATGTTCTACACCGGTAATAGCTATAATGCCCAAATGAACAACTGATTTAATTAAAGAAAAACTAACCGAACCATATTTTCCTTCCCTTCACTTATAATTCCGTGGGAGGGACTGGCACGTATATATAAAAATCTGAGATCTCTCTTTCCTTTATACCCTGAGTTGGCGTGTACTCCTGAGCCATTTATGAGACCTATAAAATTACATTTTTTAATTTTTCAGTTTTGGAAATTCATACTTACATCACAACTTTTTATTCCAGCATAGGAAACAGCAGGAGGAGTTGAATGTTCCTATTTTCTGAATGGCATCACTTAACCACGTACAACGTAGGTACCACCAGCAAAATGGGATCAACCATATATTTTTACTTAAGCTCTACCAGATATCATATAAAACCACATTTTATAGAGGGGGAAAAAACTTACACCAGGCTTGCAATACCAAAAAGAAATGCAAATAATCTGTTTGTACCAGTCCAAGAGAAATAAAAGTCCAGTGTTAAGCACGTACAATTATCTAATAAGAATTTACTTGGAAAGCAGCTCAGGGCAGGCAGAAGAAACAGAGGGAGAAAGAGAGAGCACTGTAAAATATGTGCTAACACTTACCTTGAGAAAAAACCGTATTATCTTTGTTCCAGTCACAATAGTACTAAATAATAAACTTTCTGTTAAAAATCTAACCAATATTTTCTAAAGAAAATATTTTTTTTAAATAGAAAAGTTAGGTTGTTTCCTCTTTCCCACAGGTGTGGCCAAAAGGCCAGAGTGCCAACAGCCCCTTCCAAATGCTCAATTTAGTGACTTGTGTTTTCTCAACTTTTCCCAGTGCTCATTAAACCAGAACAAAAATCAATTATTTATTCAAGTGTCCAGGAGAGAAGGTTTCTCTAACAAGAATATCAAGTACTTGAAATTGAGTATTTTAGCCTTGCAGGTGCTCTTTGTAAAGGACACCTGCAATCAGTTGTTAGCAATTTTGCTTCCACCTGAGACTGAAAGTCTGTTAATTCTGCTAATTTCAGGCTCACTGCCCCAGGTTGGGAAAGACTCATTTTCTTCTGGCCACATGCATATGTAAGCACCTAATAAAACCATCTTTATCAAAAACAACACAAGTAGATCCATCTCTCTTCAGTTATATAATGAAAATGTAGCTGCATAAACCTTTGCAACAAACGTTCTTATGTTTGCATAGCTTGTGGTCCACATGTGGCCACAATGATGGTCGATAACAAAAGCACCGGGTCGAACGTATTGTACACAAGGCAATCAATCCAGTTTTGTGTGCACGAGACTGAAGAGGTCAAAGACGAAAAGGTATAAAACATATGGATAAAGAGTAGTGCATAAGTGATGAAATAAGTATGGTCAAATAGTAAACTGTTTCATCATGAACAGGCAAACTACTCAGCAAGTGATTTAGCATTATGTTTTCTGTTTAATCCATTCAGATTTAAATAGAAGACTCGGCACAAATCTTAGTCATTAAAACAGCTCAGTAATGTCAACCCAGTCCAAGCATAGAGTTTAATCATTCAAAATTTATTTCAGTGCTATTTAAAACTGAACTCAGACGAATCGGTTCCTACCTGCCCATCTTGACCAACGTGAACCTGATGTATCTGCAAGTTACCCTGTAAAAAAAGAATAACGATAATAAACACATACCTTGGAAATTAATACAGTAGGACTGTTTAAGGAAAATTGTTTTCAGAGTGCTTAACTGTTCCCCATTTCATTATTTAACAAGTTATTGTAATTCGTTCAAGGAAATCCATTAATTTAGGAAATTCTTCCGAAAGTCTGTATGCTTTGGCAATAAAACTTAACTACAATGCCCTTGCACTTTAACCACAGAGAATGGATGCTTTTACTGTTCTAGAGATTCTTTTCAACCTAGAAAGTTCTTTTTTGGTGCTTTTCATGTGATGATTAAATAAAAAATCTGTTTGTGTGACGTCTACAGAGATAGATATTGTCTTCTCATATTCCCTTATTTTTATAAAATGCAAACATGCATAATTCAAAACATTTGTTATTCTAAAATTAGGAAAATACCTTTTTAAATCTTTGACTTGTATGAAATATAGCTTTTCTAATGGATATAATATCTGTTATTACAAAGCTATCACTTGTGCTAACAGCTTTTTTTTTTTACTTTATCAAAACTCAATTACAAATGTGAACAAAGGGTTCTATTATAGAAATTACAAAGACACCTCTTACAAAAGATTCTGAATGCTATAAGCCATTTGCAAGAGCTATGAACACTGAAAAAGGAAAAAAGAATCTCCATTACAAAAAGAAAATGGTTTGCACTTTCAAACAGGGCCTTTAAAAGTATGGTTAAGTCAAGGGGGAAAAAAACACTATCCAAGATACTATAGGTACAAGAGGTGAAATGGCAAATTTCTATGAGGAAACATACCAAAGTCTTTGATTTTCTTATGCTTAATACAACTGGCAGTAATTCTGCTTTCTTTCAAAGTTGTGTACATTGGAATAAATTATAACCCAGATGTTTTCAGCCCACATGGACAAAAGATAGGCCTGCTCCTAAATCCTTATATACCAGACAACTCCCACTGAGGTCAGCGAAGCTTGGGTGTGTAAGAGTTCCAGGCTCAGCCCAGAACTCCTCACCTCTCCTAAACCAAAATAATTTAGTGGCTCCAGACCATTATCATTAAGTAATCGAGTGTGATTATCACTAAGGATACAGAGCTATGCCATTCACATTCACACTAGATTCCTTAATAATAATTATCATTAAGGCTACAGAGCTATGCCATTCCCATTCACTTCCATTTCTCTTTATCCTCAGAGTCAAACCCTTAAAGGAGACTTTCTTTCAACTAAAACTGATTTTCATTTATAATAAATATTTCTAGCATAAGGGTTGATCTGCACAGGGCAATGCCCTGGAATAACTCTTCTGCCATAACTTCCCCATGTGGACACTTGGCATGCGCTAAGCATGCCTTTATAAAGTTTACTTTAGTCCATTTTGGAAATGGATTAGGCTACGGCATAAAAAGGTACTCTAAATGCAGAAAAAGTGCTTACACAAAGTTGTTGCAAAACAGCTACTGCACTATTCAGTTCTCTTTCTAGGTTATTTGCAGTACCTTTCCCACCTAATCAAGTCCGAAGAGCATAATTAATTAGAGCACAAGCCCCATCTCAGGCTATGAAACATTCCAAAATACACAGCAGCCAGCAATAAAGGTTTAACTTTGGCAAAATCCGACTGGCTCCAATGGGTGTTTTGCCTGAGTAAATCTGGAGTTATCAGTTTCCTTTTAGCTTCACGATTTTGAAGCTAAATTGTGAATGTTTCAATTCAGGGGGTTGCTAGAAGAGTAACAGAGGCAGGCAGAAACTGCTTCGTTCTGTAAAATACCTGCACTACGAAGAAAATCAAAAATCCTCCCTGATCTGCAGCTCTCACAATTAAAGCTATTCCTAGGTGTTTTGAACACATTCTACACGGCATGTATCCCCAATCCTTTTCTCTCTGAACTAACATACAAGCACAAAGATTGTACTCATTATTATAACATGAAGACACTATAGTCTGCTTCCCATAAATCCCATTAAAAAGCACATCAGCTCTAAACCACAATTTGCAAATAAAATATGCTGGCCAAGCAAAAACATCCACAGAGTAGAAACGTGTTGCATTCGCTGACATTGAGGCCCGTTTCGACGTGGCTCTGTTGCATGCATTCAGTTCTGCTCTCGCTGACAGTATTAGCTTCTCTTTGCCATCCTGAGAACAACGGTTTTAGAAACATGGCCCTCATCTCAGCAGAGCTCAAAGGTTACGTTTTGGCTTACCTCGCTGTCTTGCGTTATTTGGACCTGTTCGCCTTGAGGGACCTGGGCTATGTGGAGGTGACCCTGTGGGATCCGCAACAAAGAAAACAGCAAGAAGCATCAGAAGAAAATCAAAACTCAGAGAAGCTAGCAGCTCAGATATAGTACAGCCTTACGTATTCAACGCAGGGACAAGGTGGGGAAAGAAAAATCGTAACTCACTGAAATTCTCTTATGTGTGCAAACTGCTTTAAAAATTAAGCATATCCACATGTGTCCATTCTTTTAGATGTAGTACCAATGGAAGAGTAAGTCTGATATGTAAAGCATTTAACTCACAAAAGGCAGGAAGAATAGACATGGGGAACGTACCGTGTCTTTCTTTCCAAAACTCTAAGTTTTAGTGATTTTAAATGATTCACAAAACCTGCCGCAAATACGTACATGCACACACCCCTTTTAAGCGCAGGTCAGGCAACGTACTTCTGGGTGTGGTGGCAGGATCAGACCTTAAGGTACATCAGTAATGTATAGGGATTACTTTTGCCACAGATGAAATGCAGCTGGGTCAAACACGATAAAAAACACAGAGTGGGAAGCTCTTAACATTCCCTGAAATACGTTCAGTTCAAGACATTGTGATCTTTTTGCAGTGGATTCACTGACTACTAAACTAAAACGAGATATTTAAAGAAATACTCAAGATTATCCAGAAAGCATAAGACATATTGGCTTGTATTCCACACAGGAGAGCACACGAACACCAGCAGACTCTCCCTCTGCCTGAAGAAGACTGCTTGTGCCCAAAAGCTTGCAACGAACAATTTTTCCCACTATTAAGTTGGTCCAATTAAAAATATCGCATTTACCCATATCTGCCATAAAGCACTGCACGCTCACCGGGATGGACACATGCACGCATCAAACTACACTAAAGGTCACATCTTCCGTTGGTGTAAATAGGAACAGCATCATTAATTCCAATGCAGCTATGCCAATTTACACCATTGGAGTGACCCGGCCCTAAGAGTTTTAATAAGGCTGCTCCTTGATATCACAGATCTTAACACAACCACTTCAGAAAGAAATCAAGCATAACGTTAGGAAGAAAAAAAAATAAATGGGCAGGGAAGTGAAGAAAGTCCTTGTGCATCCCGACTGGCCTAAAGAAGCCTTTGCTACTGCAATTTACCTGCTGGCACATTTGATTCTAAATAACCTACGTCGGGGCTTATAAGGCTTTGTTTTCATTTTAATATGCCTGTATGAAACGGAGATTAAAGATACCCATTTGGAATTCTGTCAAAGGACTTCCTTATTTTATAGCACAAGAACAATTGCATGTGAATTTCAAAGAAACACAGATCCCTCTATTTCAAACAGTTTCATTTCCTTTGGAAGGAAGCTGTCTATTTATAGGGAGAAAAAACATACTGAAAGTATCAAACTGACAATAGGGACTGTATATAAAATTAGAGCGCAGACCCAATCCATGTTGAGATTAGAATCATTTTCCCTTCTTAACATCAAGCTCTCAGGGCTCCCAGGGAAGAGCATTGAAAATTAAAAAGGTGCAATTATGCCGTGTTTATGGTAGAGATAATTCTTTCAAGGATAAGGGGGAAAAAAGGTGACTTTGTTCACCTTTACACCATTCACCAGTCCAAGAAAAACCTGCTCGCTCATCCACTGCAGGTACGCAGCCAGCCCTCAAGGCCAATAACTTCAGTTTGTGCACCTAAGCAATTCAAGCAAGAAAAAATAATAATAATATTTTTGTCCCAACCCCCAAACAAAATTTATGGAGGCATTTGCAGTTCCTTGGCATCTAGTCCATTCCTAACACTACCTATTTCTGTTTTCACATTTTCTCTATAAATATTTTTGAGCCTGAAAGTGGAAGCACTGGCAGTACTAAAACCTAAAGGCCATCAGCAATTCATGGACCCTGTACAGGGCATTTAAATGCAAATGTACTTTGCCCTACTAACGACCTGAAGCTTGATCTATGCAGACTGTCCTCTACAAGCAAAAAATGTCATTTCCATCCAATGCAGCCCAGGGCTGATATGGCAACAACAGCTAGATACTGGCTGCAACCCACCATAGGTTTAGCAAACTTCAGTTTAAATTTAAATTATGATGCCAGAGATTCACATTTATCTCTGTGTAATAAGCTCTCAACTTTATATGCGTTTAGGCAGGCGTTTTGTCTATACATCTTCTAACAGCAATTTGCATTTCTATTGAGTCCTTCACGAAAAAGATCTCGAAATGATTTACATACATTTTTAAACCTCACAAACATCCTGTGAGATGGGTCAAATTAATACACATGCTTTAAGAGATGGGGAAACCAAAACACGGTAATCACACTACAAAACGGTGGTGGAGCTGGGAATGAAAACCAATGACGCTACCTCTCAGTTTATGGTAAAAGAACCTTGTTTCCTCAATGGGAGGATTGTCTCTTGAGTAAACGCGTGCCAAAAGTTATCCCCACCCCTCCTTGAGTGCCACTCCAATCCACTACCTGGCCCCAATCAACAAGTGAGACAGATCCTCACAGAGAAGCAGTATCACTTTTGATTTATTTTGCAATATAATTATCCAACTCCTGTGTACAAAGCACCCCATCTCAGTCCTCTTTCTAGCTCCTTTCCAACCAGGCTCCTGCGCTTTGCACACCCTTGAAACCACTGCCATCAGCCTCTTTAAGGACCTCTTCCAAATTTCAGAACCAGTCCATCATTTTCATCCTTGACCTGCCAGCTGCCTTCAGCTATGTTGGCCATGCTTTTCTTCTCGTCGTCCCATGACTTTCACAGTGCTCCTCTCCAGATTTGTCTTCTCTAATCACTCACTCTGCATGTCCTTTGGAGGAGCTACAGATTTTACATGGCTCTGTGCTTGGTGCCCATGTCTTCCACTTACTTCTGGGTGCTCTCATCCATAGACACAAAGCCATCTACCATCTCTATGCAGATAACTCAGAGAGCAGTACCCATGGCATTGGCGTTAAATAAGGAAGTAGCAAGGGGGCTTGGTGGAAAGTTTTACACCTGCTAGCTATCTTAAAATTGGGTAAGCTGGTACTAGACAGCCACGAGATGTCAGATGGACAAACTAAGATACTATTTTGGACTGGAAGAGACAAGTCAACCATCCTGCCTGTAACCTGAACGTCATATTTGACTCTCTAGAGACTTGCACCCAGCCTCTCTCTAAGCAGTTCCAATTCTTTCTGCATTATATTTCTTAGAAAAGCTCTTTCCTTCATGTACCTGTGGCTAAAATGTTTGTTCATGCTCCCCTCATCTCTCATCTTTCATGCCACATACTTTTCTTGGGTCGGGGCAAATGCAAATTTGCCCCATCATCTCCATTCACAAAAACTATCTGCATACCCCACTGTTTTGACCAGGTTTCTGCTCTCAGCCATCTCTCTACTGCCCCTTCCTTCCCTGTAACAGTAAATTCAAGCTACTGTCTTCAGTTTCAAACCCCTTCAGGACCCATCCTCACCCTACTTTCATCTTATTCAATATAGAGATTTGATTCCCGTTTTCAGCCTAGGCCATGGTGCCAGCTTTCATCATTCACTTGTTACATTTTCAAACAAAACATCCTTGTGCTTTCTCCTATGCTTCCCATTACACTTGAAAGAGCTCTCTGTCCTCAGCACCTTTCCTTTCTTGTTTGTACAGCGTCTAGCACAATGGGGGTCCTGATCCACAAGTAGTAATCCTGTTCACTATTATTACAATGAAGAAGAAAAAATGTTGAGATTTACCAAAAGAAGTTTCCAGCTTGCTGGAGACTGAAAACCCATTTAAAAAAAAACAGAAGGCAAATGAGGTAGACCCCAAATTTATTATTTTTTTAAATGCCTTAGCTTGCATTTGATTGGGATCTCTTGATTTTGGCGTGACTTCTCCTTTTTGAAAGTGAAGTATCACAACACTATATGCTGCAACTTCTTTCTGAAATGTGTTTTATTCCTTGACATCTTTTTTAATTAAATGCAAAATAATGCTTTGTATTAAAACTGTGACAGGAAGCTACAAAAGTCCAGATCATTTTCCTCAGAATGTACCAAAAGAGGTTTTAAAAACGGCAAGGGCTTGAGTTATTATAGATGTGTCAGGCTTAACTTTCAAATTCCCTGACTTTTGTGGGTTTGGGTCAAAATTTTACCTTTATTTAAACAGAATTTTTAGAATTTGTCAATATTTATAAATTGTGCTTGTATATATGTGTCTAAATGAATACACATGTAAAGCTAACAGATGTCCAAAACTGCTTGTGAAGGCAATGTTAAAGAATGAAGATACATGAGTCAGAAATGGATGGTTTACTATTCTGAGAAGCAGCAGATTTTTAGAAAACCAATATAAACACATTTGTTAGGCTTACATGCATAATCAGGATAATTGCATAGACAAATGACTCATTAGAGGCCTAACTGGCCATTTGTGTGTACCCTTATATGCATGCATTCATTTACAGTAGTTGTGTGAGCAAACTGTGCAAGCGCATTTTTGACAACTATAAAAGAAAAATCAGGCCCTGAGTGTTTAGGTTTCTTTCTAGGAAAAGATAAGAGGCCTCTGCCAATCCTAAACAAGTTTCAGAAAAAGCTGAATCAGAGATTGAGGCACAAAGTTTTCAGCAGAAATTTGTTTAAACAGAAGAGATTAAGAATGAGTACATACTACTTGAACTTGTCCATCTTCTCCTATTTGGTGAATCTGAACCTGCTGAGCATTAGCGAGTGCGTAGTGGAGGGCTTGCGGCTGGTTCTGCTGGATCTCATTAGAAGCCGACACTGTACTTTGTGCGCCCTCTGAAAAAGAAAGAAAAAAACCCCAGCTTTTTTTATTTGCACATCTCCAGGTCAGTTGCCAGGCAATAACGTATGGCTAAAATCTGCAAAAAAAAATTAATAAAAAACTGCAGAGGGAGTAAGCAGACGCATATCAGCTGCATTACTCTTATGCTTTGGTTGCAGCTTCCTGATTAGTCGGAGTCAGACTGTAGACACCATCAATACAGTTCAAAGGATGCTCCTACATTTCTGTCTCTGAAACATGACACGTAGTTAGGTTAATTAGATTAAAATTTTCACATAGACAAGATATGCTCGGAGAGCAGAGTCGTAAGGTAAAAGGGCCATCTAAATCACAGCGTACTTAAATTTTTCCTCAACTTGTATAATCCTCAATGCTCCAACCATCTGTTCATCATCTGCCAACACACCATCCTCCTTTCAGGCGGGGGGTAACTTTCTGCAGTGCACATACCAAATCTTACTGCTCCTCTGGAGTGTCTGATAAAAGCTAAGGGATGAATGCCATAATTTATATATTCCCATTTAGGACCGGGTTTTAGCTGCAACACATTTAGCACCAGAACATGGACGACCCAACCGTCCCATTCTTATGAGCAAGTCACGTATCAGTGTTGTCAATTCTTGTCATTTTATTGAAAATCTTGCGATAACCGGTATTTTCTTAAAGCTGCCTTTATTTTGTCAATTTTCTCAAGTCTTAAAAGGATTTCAAGAGAATCTCCTCTTCCATCAAAAGGACTGGTGTAAATCTTTCCCCCTTAGGGTGGCAGAAAAAAGTATATCTTGGAACTTAAACACCAAAGGTGAAAAATAATATGTCTAAACTCATTATGTTTAATCCACTGGCACTACTTATTGAAGACTGACTACATTTTTTTAAGTTTGGGCTTCCTAATGGAGAACACAGAAGAGGCTCAAGGTACAGGTATGTACCTAGAGACTGAGACACAGTCAATAGGTGTAAGCGCTGGCGAGTAGCTTTGCGTCCTTTTAAACATGCAGAGGGGAAAATTAGGGGAACTGTTCGAGGGAACCTCAGAATGCCCTGGCCTACGATGGAGATAATTAACTACTATTCCTGAACGTCCTTTCTTTTGAGATTTAGACATTCAACACTATTTGTAGGACATATTTTTGAAGTTTAATCGAAATCATAATGGCTGTATGGCTGGAGGCAGCGCTGTCAACCATAAGGACCATATATAATTATGTCAAGATGGATTCAGAGAATTTTTAAACACATTTTATTTCCTTGATAAATTTAAACAGCTTCCTTTTTGCTATTACATTGTCACAAACACACACTTAGGAAATTATTATAAATCAGCATTTTAATTTGTATTTATTTATTGCCTCGGTAATGACCTCTATACCATACAGTAATATAATGAGGTCCCTTGTAATACATTGCAACATCCCATAATACAAGGCTATGAATCTGTATTATTGCAGGAAACCATAATGAAAATATTTAGGAAATAAAATGGCACTGCACTTGCACAGTTGACAACTTTCTTGTTAATAGCTTTACATTTATTTATTCTTTAAATAAAGACTAGATGAGCCTTACCCTCATTACGGATGACTGACGGGCTGTATATTTTCATTTCAAAATAACAAAAATAGGGGGCGGTTACTGAAAGCAAAGAAACCCTATTCCACACCAGTACACTGCCAGCACCCTAATTAACTAAACCCTCTGAGGTTTATTCTGGAAGCACAAAATGATCTGGAGCGCAAGAGGGCTTATCCCAGCCTGCTAACGTTTTAGTTGCAATGCTCTAAAAATGGAGTTTATAGAAATTAGCATCTCTTCCCACCTACCTTGTTTTCTGAATCAACTGACACAAGATAACAAACATGCACTTTAAAATCTAAGCCATGAAATGGCAAACCGATTCAGTACTGCTAAGCTATCATGCAGTTATTTGTCGGAAAGTTTGTTAACACTCCAAGCAAGCATCTTTAATTCATTAACAGTCTGTAATGATACCCTGTGAATAAAACAGCCAACTACAGCTACCAAAGACAAGAAAATAACTATTGTTATTGCTAATTGTTATTGCTAACCTTTTTAAGCTGGGTTTTACTTCTGTTAGGGGCATGGGTCAGCAATGCCCTGTTGCTTCACTGTTATCCAAATTCGCAGAGAAGCCATTGCTTCAAAATACCCTCCAATATCCTGCAGTGCCATGGGCATCCACGGTAGCATAAAAACAAAAACAGGCAGTCCTTGAATACAGCATAGTCTGCTACTGCTCTCTGGGACAGCTATAAGGTACATTTGTGAGGCCAACAGGGAATTTATTTAGAGATCTGGTGCCAGATAGTTCTCTTATGTGTAAATGGGCTTTGTCATTATGTTCAGCAACATTAATTGGATAAACAATTCTTCCAGAAAACTCTGAAATCTTTTCCCTTGTCTGCGTGTGTTGAATTTTCATGTTATTTTCACAGAACTGATTTTCCATCATTTCTGTTTTATGAAGCTTTGAAAGCACACCACAAGGCTATTAGATAACCAGCCCTATTTTTTTAATCTTGTCCTTATAGGCCAAAATTAGTCCATCCAGTTGTGACTTCATATTTCCAGCACATTTTTTCAAATTTCACTGCACAGTTCAACATCTGGCCAGCCCTGGTGTCCAAATACATAATCCTATATATTTAAAACAAAGATAGGGATATATATATATATATATATATATATATATATAGGATTATGTATTTGGATTGTGTGTGTGTATACAGACAGATGAACATTTTTTCCACGCAGATGTTGGACTAAAGACAGAACTAACTGACAATCAAAGGCTTGTTCCTCCTATAGCTTCAGTAACATTTTTGAGGTATGTTCCCTGTAGCTTAAATTTACAACATTGCACTGATAAATGGTATTTCTGAGAAAAACTTGAGACAGATTTAAACTAGTTAACTTCCTAATCAAGAACGGCTCATAACACAGGAGTATCCGTGCGTTAATGATATCTGCGGCATATTGAAGAAATGCTGGCATTTGTAACCGAAGAATACAGAGACTTGTATTTGTTGTAGTCCAGCTGTGATTTAATAGGTATTAAAAACCATTTTTATATCGACTGGGTTAAACAGGGGGCCTGTAAGCGTTGCAAATGTCAAGCAGAGTCAGGAGGAGGAAAGGGGAGATGGGGACAAAATGCCTTCACACTCCATCTCTCAAGAAGCAAACTTGCTTATAAATAGACTTCAGTTTTTGGCTTTGATGCAATGGCCACAGTTAGCAACAAAAAAAGAAAAAGAATTCAGCAGTGTCTCAAAACAAAACATCCTTTATGTATAATTGTTTTTCCCCTCTCTAAATCTCTGACCAGGCAGAAGTAATATTTATCCATTTTTAAACATTCCCCATAAAAAACAAACACAAACATGAATAGGGCACAGCTTGAATGGAGGATATGTCAACAGTTATAAATCACTATCATGTAAACTATCTGGCCTCACATTTACAACTTGGATATATTAGAGAAACCCTGGCACTGAGAAACCATACAGAACTCGCATGTTGAAACTTTCCACTGCATTATTTAGGAAGAGGGGCTTACTTGGACATTGTCCGAACACTTGATTTAATGATGCTGCTCTTCAGGTATGATGTTGTGTTTTCAGAGCATCCTTCTTTTGGCACAAAACTACAATAGCATCCCAATCGTCCACCAAACGGAAGATGCCGCTCTTAACTTTTCACAGGTGGCGGGTTACGATATGGAAAAAAATTATAACTGGCAAATTCCTTCCTCCTGGAGCAAACACTAGACCCTTTAAAATTCATATCTGTTTACTAGATGTGCTTCTGAGCTAGAGGAAAGTAAACCGTGCTAAAATGGAATTCACCTTCTCGAACAAATCTTCAACACTTGGCAAAATCACCCCACTATGACATGCAACTTCTGCAGCATATTATTTCCAAGCTAAGCCTCTTCAGAAGTTGAGAGAGCAAGACTGGATTTGTCAAGCAAATGTAATTTGTAACCACCTCCAGCACGAGCGTATTTTAACTTTCAGCTAAGATCGATTTGAACGTTCCTCACTCCGAAACAAAACCTCTGGCATTTTCCATATCACTTTTTCCATTTTCATTTAGCCTTGCTCACTCTTTTAATGGATCTTTAAAAATCTTCAGGGAGATTTTGATCAAGTGCTCACCCCATATCTATGGGCAGATACTTGTCTTCGCACCCCAATTTCAATTTAAATAGGAATTAAGGCTAAGCACAGACAGTCCAAAAGCCTGAGGCTGAATCGATTCAGTCTTCACAGGTTAGTCTAAACTGCTGTAGACTGAACTGATCAACTGCTTTCAAACTGGCTGAAGCTGGTTTAAGATACACCTGGATGGATGTAGTATCAGACTGAACTGATTTAGGTGAAATCGGTTTACTGAACTTCTGTCCCAGATCCCTTCCAGATTCAAGTTGACTCACCGTCCCCCAGCATCCCAGGATACTTTGCATCTCTCCCACAACCCCCACCCCTTCGCAGGGTGGGCGGGCTAGCCTTGGCCCAAGCTGTCTGCTCCAGCCCCGCAAGGTGTGCTCTAGCGCCCCCCAGCTTCTGGCCTGGGCCACTGCAGTCACATGGCTGCATTTCTGGAATCAAAAGTGAATGTCTGTTCACTTGCCTAGCGGTCCAATCTACACAACTTAGACTAACCTGCGAAGACTGACCTGATTCAGCCTTGGGCTTTCTGACTCTCTGTACTTAGCCCTAGAGCACAACAGTGGCAGCATCTGATCTTTGGTAACAAAAACTAGAAGATGCTTTTGCATGCCCTAAGAGTTATTCTTAGGAAAAGAAAAACTAAAAGAAGACAAAGTGCCCTACCTACATCCATTGCTTTACATCCCTGCTCCTCCCTCCTAACCCCCACTCCTCTGCACACTCCCACCCACCTCCCCTTTGGGATAATTCACAGAAATAAAACGAGGCATCGCATGCTGTTCCCCAAACTTGACTTA